CTTTCTTCCCAACACAGCTCTCTACAAAATACTATGTTTCTTGTCTTCAAAGAATAGTAAGTACTGTTGGGAAGACAGAGTCTGTTGAAAAGGCAGTTAACCATTAAACAGGGGCCCTGGACAGAGAGCAGATCTACCAAATTACTCCTAAATACTTGTTACGTACTAAGTAGTTATTAAATTGCTATAAATCTGCATCAGAATTAGCAGCGAGCTGAGAACTTCTGCTTATAAGCAGAGAGCGACATGAAAATACATTCGGTGATAAGGCAAATGCTTGTCATCATCGTGCCTTGCCAGTGATTTTGGGCCTCTGCATGTTGGGACTAAGGAAGAACGTGGAAACGTGATTGGTCAAAAAGTGTAGATCTGTTCCCAGGAAAGGCGGTGGCCCTTGCAGAGCTAGCTTCAATTAAGCTGATACCTAAGGAGATACAGCTCTGATACTTAAGGGATTTGTAGAGCACTGAGTCACGGTACCTGTTAAGGGCACTCGGGCCAAGTCTGCTTAGAGTGAATGTTTCTTCTTAAAGCTTTATTGTTTACCCCTGGGCTGTCATATATCTTCACCTTTCCGTATGTAGAGGGCTGTACCTTTTCTAAAGAGAGAGATAAAAAATAATGCACCTCTTTCCCATGAAGCGTATCCCACCAGTCCTCACCACCTCATTGCTGTTGGTCCTGAGCGTGGCACTGGGTAATACTGACTAGTGATGCTTTTGTCTTGCTTTTTGCATTGTCACTCACATATTCCTTAGTGTACATCATCAGACTAGGAGCCATTCCTCACCTCTGTTTCTATTTCTCCTCTAATGCTTCCAAAAAATCTCTTGTACTGACTTAGAAAAACAGCTGGAACGGCAACATCACTCCATTTTAAGCTCTGAATTGTGTTAGCCGTTACATTGGTTCCACATGCTGCTTGGGTGGAGACATCAGTTAAAATTCCCAACACGGCCAGTCAGGCCAGGAATTGCAGCTCTGTGTAAGTGGTGGTGACTTTCTAATTCTTGATTACATTATGCTAGAAAAGGGGATTGTTCCCAGAGCAATTTACCAAGAGGGGAAAACTGGAAATACTGTTCAAGGATGACCTTCCACACCAGTGATCTATTTGGCTGGTGTCTGTTATTGCTCAGCTTCTCCGTCATGGGTTTTGCAGTAGTCTAGTGCTTTGTCATCGCTACTAAGTGGAAAACTCCTGAGCTCACTAAACAGTTTGTGATGGGTTTGGGTAATGGCAGATGGATTTATGAATGCAACCGCAGAACAAAGTATTCTTCAAGGTTACCTGAAATAAACACGAGTCTTATTTGAGGAGACTTTAAATGCATTGATTCTAAAATTTCCTTCAATCCAAAGGGCTATTCCTGAGCCCAAGATCCTGAGAGAGTTAGGAGAGAGGAAAAAGAAGGCAATTACTTTTCACCACACCAGCATGGGAGCAGGAAAAGTGTTGTTGCGATTGTCTCCAAGAGAGAGGCAGTGCTGTAATCCTGTTTCATTTTCGTACACAGAACTTGGAAAGATTTTTCCTAGAAACGTGTAATGGGACTGTCAGAAAACAGACCACTCCCCTTCCCAGTAGTTTCCTGC